GCCCCACTGTGGCTGGTGTTCCCAGAGGTTAAGTGTCTTGCCAAGGACACAACGACAGTAGTCAGTGGGAGTCGATGGTGAAAGTCCTGAGCGGGGCTTGAACCCACGACCTTCTGGCTCAAAGGCCAACGCTCTACCAACTGAGCTACTGCCGCCCATGAGTACCAAACATGTGTGTGCGTTGTTTTTGGAGAAAGATTATCAATCTCGTCATCTGTTTATAAAGAGTGGTGGAAGCTGAAACATGAATGAGCTGAGTAATCTGTGAAAAACCGTTTCTTTTTTGGCTTATTTTTTCCAGTACCTTTTTTTCACACACAAGAAAGTTATTTCACTTTCTTGTGTTTTTTCTATTGGATTTAATGATCCCAGATGTGAACCATGGATTCCCATTGTCTATGTTCTCTGCATTCTTAAAGGTCAACATTTGTTATAAAGAATTGTGTCTATTTTTAGAAATCTTTCATCTATTTTCATTTGCTTTATTTGAGAGCGGAAGAGAGGCCAAGACTTCCCTATCCACACACACTTCCTCGATCACTCGAGGGGCTCTCAGGGCCCACACATGTCCTGGGTCTCCCCCAGCGTCTACTCTAGTAGTATATAAAAATGCACAGAAGGGGTGGAGACAACATTGATGGTCCCATCTTGACCCATTTCTTCAGTAGATGCTCAATAAGCAATTATCTGACCACAAAGCCATGACTTGTTTTCTGAGAGTACGTCTTGGTTTGTCACATGTCCGTAGGTGTGTGCTGTATTTAATATGCACAACATTGTGTACTGTACTTCTGTGGAGTTAATCAATCTATCAAATTTTATTTATAGAGCCCTTTACAACACACAAGGCGACCAAGTACTTTACAATAAAATCACATAAAATCTGTTAAAAACATTCATACAACCAAACAATAAAACATCCATCCATTTCCATCCATCCATTTTCTACCCTTTAATCCATTTCTGGGTCAGGGGGGTGGCCCCTTGGGTGGCATCTCATATTCTCATAGCACCAGCCCCTCACTGACCCTCTGCAGGTGGTGAGTCCACAGGAGGACGGCTGCTCTCTGAGTGTGAGCATAGCCTTGATCTTTCAGCGGGGGCTTTGGGCAAAGTGGGGTTAAGTGTCTTGCCCAAGGACACAACGACAGCAGCCATCAGTGGGAGTCAGAGAAGGTGGGAATTGAACCCACGACCTTCAGGCCTGAAGGCCAGTGCTCTACCAACTGAGCTACTGTTGCCCCAGTGTTGGGGCAACAATAAAACAGTCAGATAAAACCATGAGAAACTAAAGTGTCGCCGTGCTACTGAGTATTAAAAGCCAGTCTGAATAAATATGTCTTAAGTCTGGATTTAAAAAGGCCAAAGTCAGTGATTGTGGAAGTTAAGGAAACCCAAGCACCCAGAGTAAGTGAGAACATAAAAAGGTGCCCCCATGTCCCAGACTACAGTCAACAAACCAACCTGAGACACGCCACTAAAATAAAACGAGTAAAATGCCTGCACTCTGAAGAATAGAGCAGGGGTTCCCAAACTTTTCAGGCCGGAATCCCCAACATAGGCCTAAAACAGACTTGTGACCCGCACTGATGTAAACAATTGAAAATAATGAATTTAAATGTAGTCATTTATTATGCCAGTTGATCCATTATCATTTCAAAGTAATGTTTGTATACAGCATACCCATACTATAACTATTCTGCTTTAAATTGATTGCACCGAGAGCCAAAGCAATTTTCTAGTTTGTGACTTCCTGTTACTCACATGGCAATAAAAAAGAATCTGATTCTGATACTATAAAGCAGTGTTTTTCAACCACTGTGCCGCGGCACACTAGTGTGCCGTATGATATTGTCTGGTGTGCCGTGAGAAATTCGTCTACTTTGTCTAAAAATAGCTGCATTCGCTGTTGACGAGCGGTGACTTGTTTTGAACTGTGAGTAACCATGTAATACTTTTTCAAATCAGTAGATGGCAGCAGATAGCTAAGTACTTTGAAACTGAAAAATTGGATGCGACCACAGGCTGTAACAGGTCAGCATTGTGGCGAGAAAGGTAAAATTGGATGCAACCAACAAATGTGGGAGGGAGCGAGACAAGAGCTTTGTGGCGAGTGAGAAGTGAAAGTGATAGAGACGTTTTTGAAAATGAATTATGCCGTTTCTGAACAGGATTAACATCCTCCGCTCTGCCCCGGGGCAGCTGTGGCCGCGTTGTAGTGGTTTAACTATGAAATGTACCATTTTTGTACAACAGCTCTCGCGAACGCACTTCTGAACTGGGTACCGAGCGCAGACCATAGTCGAGTGGACAGAACCATAGACATGCGGACCGGACAGAACCATGGACTCGCGTTCAGGACCTTCCGTGTCCCTCATCCAAAACTCCTGAATTTAAAGCTCGGATACCTAAATTTTCCCCATGCACTAACAATGCATGTTCTTTGTGTGAGTTATTATTTGACTATTTGGGCAGAGAGTGGATTTTCTTAGTTTTTTTCCACACAGTTAGTGCCACTTTATTCCCAAACTCTTATTAATTGTATCGATAAATATTAAATAAAGCTTAATGTCAAGGCCTGGACTTAAGCATTTTGATGAGAATAACTGTATATTGTGAATATAGGCTACAGAGTATACTGTATACATTATAAGATAAGATATACTTTATATATCACACAGAGTATGTACAGTATATATTTTTACATTAGTACTGTATACATTTTTACATTTTCTCCTGGAGGTGTGCCGCAAGATTTTTTCAGTGAAAAAAGTGTGCCTTGGCTCAAAAAAGGTTGAAAAACACTGCTATAAAGGGACACCTGTATATAAACTGCACCAGTTTGAAAAGAAATATTAGGCGCAACCTGAAAGTAAGCTCATTCACCAGTCTATTTTTACAAAAGTGTGCTACTGCAAAAAAATACATTCATAGACTCTGCTTTGACAACTCTACCACAATAAAAAATACACATATTAGCCGCATCGCAGCAGGGTTCAAAGAACAAGTTGCAGTTTACAGTCTGAAAATTATTGTAATCAGTAAAATATAATCTGTAAATCTCATGGGGTTCCAACCTTGGAAAAGACTGAATTAATAGAAAAGTGAGGTACCTAATTTTTTCCCATAAAAGTCAATTAAGCTTTCTCCACCAAAGGAAAAAGTCATATAGTGAACACATTCAATCATTACATTCAGCCTTTATCTTGTTAGAAAACATGTTATCTTTTGTATACTTGTACAAAAGAGCCCTCCGAGTCACTATCTGAAGCTTTGGGCTAAGGGACTTATTGGCTTATTGAGTGAGGGTGGTCCTCATTTTTTCACTTTTCCATCTGAAAAAGCTGATCTAAAGATGTGACAAGGACAAACAAATGCATGTGTTGAAGTATTGACAAGCAAACGGTTTTGGGACGTGAGGAGAGAAGAAGAAATTCAGTTCCTACATTCAATGTTTTCATTGAGAAGTCTTAGACATAGACTGATTTGTGAGGTGGATCGCACATACAAAAATGCTAATCTAATCTTTATCTCAATGTTTGTCAGAAAAAACCTTCATAGATATTCTTTTTGTATTGTGCCACTCTAAATGCATCTATTTTCACAGAATGAAGATCTTCAGTAATTCGGTGGACAGCAAAAGGACACCTTAACCCAATAATGACACTGGGCTTTTTCCCATGTGTGCCGTAGCCACCGTGTGTTTACCGGGGACTGGTTGCGAGGACGATGTGCAAAACAAATGAGCACAGAGCTTTCTGAGCCTCCACCTGTTGCCATAGAAGCCCTTGTTTGTGAGACACCGGTTAAACAGGCAGAGCACCGCGCTTACAGAACAGAGATGATCCTCGAGACCTCACACAGACAACAATGTTCAGAATTCTTAGAAAAAATCCTTATCAAGCAAAACAATCACAGCCTATTTGTCCAAGAACGATGTCTCTCAGGATGCTTCATTCTAGTGACACATGCTCGTCAAATAAGACCAGATAGTTTTGTTCAAAAAGTGGAGAGGGCAGTTCTTTCCAAAAATGCCATTCTAACAGAAGTTACTGGATATATAAATTTCATAAACTAATGTAAAATTCTCAAAATTTTGTATATTATATTTTGGATAGTAACAAATCTATCTTTATCTCATATAATTAACATGTCACCAAAAAGTCTAAAGTGACCTTGGTCTATGAAATATGCTATATAAAAAGATATTACTTACTTTCTCTATTATCAAGGGATGTACTGGGCTGTTTTTGTTAACAATTAATAGTTTGTACCAAAAGAAACTCTTGTAAAAGGTAAACATGTTAACTTTTGCATACTTGATTATTTGAAGCCGAGTGAATGGGGTTAGTCTCCATTTCACTTTTCTGTCAGAAAATCTAATTGGAAGTTATGACAGAGGCCACATACACAATATACTGCATGTGAACACTAGTGACAGAACCAACTTGTTTTGAGAATGAGCTAGGAGGACTTTGTAACAGCTTGTTTTTGTGATTCCTAAGTTAGGTATCCCAGGTTTAATTGAGTTGGGTAAAGCAATTATGATGGTTTAAAAACAGTGGCTGCCTTTAGTGCCTTATCTTTGCTCTTCCAAGAATCCATAAAGAAAATGGACACGGATAATTTTATATAATGCTCCATCTGATTGGAATAGGTCACTCACAACCTCCTTTGTCTCATTTAAATCTGAATTATCTAGACTCATTACTTATGTCATAAGCTGTGATTAGAGGTTTTCCATCTTATTTCATGTTCATAACGAGACAGTGTGTAACAATATCTCTGAATATTGAAATTGTATTATGGACTGCATCTGATAATTGTTTACAGAAATGATCTACCTACCTTTTCTGAATGTGGAGTCTGAGGGATGTGTTGTTGATGTAATCTGTCTGTATTGTATTATGTATTGTATGTTCAAAAATGAAATACTGCATCAATAAAATGCAACTAAGTATAATAAAATATGAAAAATGCAAATTAAAAACCACGCAGATTTACGCACCATACTTGTTGGGCTCACGGTTGTACTCCAGAATGGGCACGATTCCATCCTCTTCCAGCCCCGCCTGCTGCAGGTGCTGCTGGTGCTGGGGGGCCTCAAACACGGAATCCTCGCCCGATTCGGCCAGCTCCCCCCCGGTGTCATGGTCCAGGGAGCCCGGGTCAACACCGACACTCCCACTTTCCACGGGGACCACCACAAACCTGTCGCTCATGTCCCCTAAAGAGCGCAAAGTGACGAAATAAGCCTCAAATACGCAGCAAGTGTATTCTAAGGGCAGCCAAAATGTATGCTAATAGCGGCTAAAGTGTATGCTAATATGGAGAGCTAAAGTTGAAGCTAACGAGGCTAAAGCGGTGGACAGCACGAGACCGCACACACATGCCCACGCGCCCATCACCGGCTTCTTTACAGTATAGACTCAAGTCCCGCCCTCTCTCCGCGCTCATAGGCTGATACGTGCAAAGTGCGGTGTCAATCAGTATCTTCAGCCAATCACGGTGAGGCGCAGATACTTCCAGAGATACAAGCGTGTTTATGTAGCAAAGTTATAAATAAACAATTAAAAAGTTATATAATTGATTTTTACAGTATGGTATACCTTACTGGACATAATGGATGAATGAATTTGTATTACTATTCGTTTTAAGTTGTGCTGTTTACTAAAAATAAATCATCTAAAAATAGCCTCACTGAGAAGAGAATGTACTGGCTGTGCACAACATACTTAACGGACCAGAGTGATGGCAATTATCACTCACTTTGTGTATCCAGTCATAATTCATTTTTAACAAGGCAATTATAATCTGCTGCAGTGGATATAGTCACTTCTTGTTTTGTATACCACTTTCTTTATAACTGATAAATAATGTGTTAGTATATACACAAATACTAGTATATATAAGTGTTGTTCGATATTTAGATGGTTTTTTTTTTTAACCTGCAAAATCCCATGTCTTCACACTAATACAAGTTTGAGATACAGCACTGTGTTGTGAATACTTACAGTAAGGCAAGGCAAGGCAAGTGTATTTGTATAGCACAATTCATACACAAGGCCACTCAAAGTGCTGAACAAAATAAGAAAGCATTAAAATCATGAATATACACAGTACATTAAAAAGAAAGATAAAAATATAAAATCCCTCAGTTGTATGCACAGCTAAACAGAACTGTTTTAACCGGGTTACATTGTCAGAGAGGAGGCCTGTCTCACATCTTCAGGAAGATTGTTCCAGATTTTAGCAGCATGAATCTGAAAAGCAGCCTCCCCATGTTTAGTTCTGACTCTGGGCACTAACAGGAGTCCAGTCCCTGTGCTCCTCAGAGTCCGGGCTGGTTCATATGGGACTAACATGTCACTAATATATTTTGGTGCGAGGCCATGGAGAGACTTGTACACAAGCAAAGCTGTTTTAAAGTCTATTCTCTGAGCCACAGGAAGCCAGTGCAGAGACCTGAGGACCGGACTAATATGGTCGTACTTCCTGGTTCTAGTCAGGACTAATATGGTCGTACTTCCTGGTTCTAGTCAGGACTCGAGCTGCTGCATTTTGAATGTACTGCAGCTGTTTTACAGCCTGTTTGGACAGACCTGAGAGCAGGCCATTGCAGTAGTCTAACCTACTGGAGACAAATGCATGGATAAGAATCTCCAAGTCTGCTTGGAGATTCTTATCCATGCATTTGTGATCAAACCGGTTTTATGCAAGGAAGATTGTTGTCAGACAATGCGAGGAGGATTCTGAATTTGGTAGATTGGGCAGAGAAACATAGGCAGCAGGCTCTAATGCTGACATTAGATGCTGAAAAAGCCTTCGATCGGTTATCTTGCAATTTTATTTTTGACACTTGTAAAGCTTTTGGTTTCCATGATTATTTTATAAATGTTCTGAGAGTGATGTATAAGAATCCTCAAGCAGCTGTAAGAGTAAATGGAGCATTGTCGAGGACGTTTAGCCTGCACTGCGGTGTAAGGCAGGGCGACTGTCTCTCACCGCTGGTTTATGTACTATGTATAGAGCCTTTAGCAGAGAGCATAAGACAAAATAAGAACATATGTGGGATTAGCCTGGGGGGTTATGAATACAAATTAGCGATGTATGCAGACAATGTGATGGTGACAATGTTGGAAGTTGGGAAATCTTTGGATAATTTAATGGAAGAAATACAAATATATAGTCAACACTCCGGGTACAAGTTAAACGCACAAAAAACAGAGGCTATGGTGATAGGAGAGGTGGATAATGAAATTAAGAGTAAATTTAATTTTAAATGGGACTGTGACAGTGTAAAGTACCTGGGGGTACATATACCAAAAAGCATGGGTAAACTTTTTGAAATTAACTATGATAAATTAATTAATCAAGTTAAAACAGAGTTTAGTAGATGGAAGATCTTGAATTTATCAATGCTTGAGAAAATTCAATCTATCAAAATGATTACTCTGCCCAGATTTTTGTTTATGTTTCAAACTCTGCCGAGCTACATACCACCCATGTACTTTAAAGAATGGGATAACTTGATGAGGAAATTTATCTGGGATGACAAAAAACCACGGGTGAAGCTTAAAAACTTAAAACTGCCAAAATCAGGGGGAGGGTTAGCATTACCAGATCTAGAGACATATTTCAAAGTAGCCCAGGTGAAGTCAATAATAACTTGGATAAGCGATTCTAATAATCCAAGATGGAAAGAAATGGAAACACATAAGTTATATTTAATTAAATCTGCCATACTTATAACTAAAGATAAAGAACTCAAAGAAGAAATAAAGAATAACTACTGTATAGAAAACACCATTAAGGTGTGGAAAAGAGTTATTAAATGCATGAAAATAAGAAATGTTTTATCTGAGGGAAATATCTAGAGACCCTGAATTTAAGGCAAACGCAACAGATCAACTGTTTAATAAGTGGGCAGAGAATGGACTCACGAGATTCCATCAACTGTTTAAAAATGGTCAAATGGAATCTTTTGAAAACATTTCTAAACAATATAACATACCAAGAAATCATTTTTATAAATATCTGCAAATTAGAAGCTATTTGAATAGTAAATTAGGAAAGATTAAAGGTGATCTAAACCCCCTGATAACTTATATGGCAAATAATGGTCATAAGAAATTAAAAAATGCTATGAGTCACTTATACCAAATTTTTCTGCAACAAAAAGAGAAAATGGCAACCAACGTTAAGGTAAAATGGGAAGAAGAGTTTCATATACAAATAACCGAAAGCGAGTGGGAACAGATTTGTGCTGGAGTCCATAAATCCATGGGTTCCTTATTCTGGAAAAAGTTTGCTTGGAAAATAATTATGAGATACTTCTTGACTCCAGAAAGTATGAGTAAATATAAAGGGGGAAATTGCAAATGTTGGAGGAATTGTGGAGAAGAAATTGCAAACTACACACATATTTTTTATACCTGTAAAATAATACAACCCTACTGGAAATAAGTATTTCAAATTGTTGAAGCGATACTGGGAAAGAAACTTGATTTAAAATCAGAAAATATTATATTAGGAAAAATCCCAATGAATATAAACTCAGATGAAAAGTATATTTTTCAAATTCTTAGAATCACAGCATTAAAGATCATAACAAAGGAGAGGAAAAAAAGTAATCCACTGGATATAAAAAAATGGATTAATAGTATACAAGAAGTAAAACTGAACGAGAAGTTAACTCACAAAATAAGGAACATGGACCATAAGTTTGACAAAAAATGGTTTATAAAAGAAATGGACAGCACATGAATATTGTGAATCAGTGGTTAACTGTGACTGTGCAGCGGAGGTTGATTGTACGTTGGGACTAATTTCTACTAAGGGGAATCAATAAATCAATAAAAAAAAATAAAAAAAAAACCCTGTCGCTGAACCTAGGAAAGTGTTGTAGGTGTATATTGTGTGGGATTGAAGTGATTATAGATTTAAACAAATGGAAAATAGATAATAATAATTAAGTGTGTGGATACGTAGGCAAGTATACGGGTAGAGCATGTGCAGTGGGCCAAGAGGAGTGGGAGTGTGTTTTGGGATGCTGGTGAGGGACAATAGATATGGGTGTCTGGTGCGGTGTGTCTGCATGTGTGAGTCCCCTGATAGTGCATAGGCATGCATTGTCTCAACCAAATAGACGGGTATGGTACGATGTGGAATTGGGGCCGATCTGATGCAAAGGCCATTTATATTTATGTCATTTACATTATTTGTGTTGTGTATATCTTCTGACGGACTGAACTTGTTCCTCCTTGTTATTTTATTACTGTTTTTGTGTTTGTTGTTTTTTGTGTGTTTGTTTCTTTTTTTTTATGTTTGTGTATGTTTCTGTATATTGGCTATGGTATATTGTCTACTTATTTTTTTTAAATTATTAAAAAAAAGTAAAAAAAAAAAAGAATCTCCAAGTCTGCTTTAGATACTATATTTTTGATCCTGGCAATGTTTTTTAGATGGTAAAAAGCCGCTGATGTTACTGATTTGATGTGGCTATTAAAATTTAAGTCTGAGTCCAGTATTACCCCTAGATAACTGACCTGGTTTGAAGGTTTTAGGGAGAGAGACTGGAGGTGACAGATGACGCTCTCTCTTTGTTTCTGGGGACCAAAGACAATCATTTCAGTTTTGTCTGCGTTTAGCTGAAGGACGTTCAGCTCTGAACAGTGTAGTTCAGAGTTTACCACATATCTATGCATCAGTTTTTACATCTTCTCATGTCCCTATTCATTCACTCCATACATGGTGGTGATAAACTGCTTGTGTAGCCACAGCTGCCTTGGAGCACATTGACAGAAGCAAGGCAACCAGTCTGTGCCACCGGTCACTGAGTCACTCCGATCACCAGCAACCATTCACACACACACCAGACTCATTCTGGGTATTCATGCGTTTTTAGGCAGTGTCTGAATTAATAATTCAGCTTAATTTACTTTTGTAAAGCCCTAAAATCACAACAGCAGTCGTCTCAGAAGACTTTACAAAGTTGTCGATTTACCAACAACAGATCAAACACATAACAGCCTTTGGTCTACATGAGCGGGATTACCACTGACCATAATTGTTGATATATGTTCAGAAATGTCCGTGATCCTCACTGCCCTTAGACCAATCTGCATCAGCAAAGAACAACTGAAAAAAAAGCGATTAGATAAGAACAAAATATATAATTGTAATTAAAACTGCAAGCAGCGTCGAACGGTGTGGAGCGATTTTGAGGCAAATCGGTGAAACGGCAGAGGAGGATTCGCTTTCCAACCGACATGTGTGAAAAAGATCATTTTTCCGTTGAAATTAATGAGCTTCCTGTTTTTTCATGATTTGACTTGAGGAACATGTGTACCGAATTAAGGCTCAAAGTGCTGGGCAAAAGTCTCTGAGCAAAAACAATAGTGTCAATGGCACATGATACATAATTTTAAAGCATTTGATTTTACGCACGCAACCGT